AGTGTAGTAATACATGCCTTATAGCCAGAAGCCTCATTTATCACGTTTTTTTCAGAACACATTTGGATATCTAGACATGCAGGCGTTTGGCATTTGAATTGTACTCTAAATGTTTTAGGACAGTTTTATGCTCCAAAACTGATTTATGTCATGTCTGTATGTCTGCAGAGTTTTGAGATTGGGGAAATGTGAGTATATGAATGAATGAGAGGCGTGTCAGTGTTTTTTGATGTAGTCATATGTAATACAGTGTGTGTACAGTATAAGTCAAAGGGACATTCTCAGCCCTGCAAAATGGTAAATGTTCACACAAATCCATTGTCACACATAATTGTGTTTCATTTTACTTTGGAACTACAACAAGCATAGTGCTCTGCGGATGTAGATAATGTCAGTGTTTTTTGATGTAGTCATATGTAATACAGTGTGTGTACAGTATAAGTCAAAGGGACATTCTCAGCCCTGCAAAATGGTAAATGTTCACACAAATCCATTGTCACACATAATTGTGTTTCATTTTACTTTGGAACTACAACAAGCATAGTGCTCTGCGGATGTAGATAAGAAGTATCATGTAGGCATCGATCAGTTAGATCACTAATGGGGTAGGGGGTAGTACTTAAGGAGTATGTCAAAGGATGCAGCGGTGCATCATTTGTAAAAGTCTTCTTTGCGTCAAAAACGTACAAAAGAGGCATAACATGCAACACTTTTAGAATTGACAAAAATATAAGTTAGTTATCCTGATCAGTGACAGCGATAGTAAACTAAAGCGAGTGTCCAAAAAAATGATGTAGCTTTGGTTGACGTATCTGAAGACCTTTGGTTTCAACATGGATGTCTAATAACTTCAAATTGACTCCTCTACTCATGTCCTTACCTCTGCAATTGCTAGTAGGAGCCGGAGGGTCTTGCAAAGAGAGAGGGGCATAAAAGAAAACCTGACCCCAACCCTCTGTATGACCTACAAAAAACAAAATCAGACAATCAGCAACATGATTGTTTTGCCTTTTTTTTTAAGCTGTTCATCTGGCCGTTTTGCCTTTATTAGACAACTGAAGAGATACAGGAAATGTTAGGAGGCGAGAGTGGGGAATGACATGCAGCAAAGGGTAGAAGTCGGATTCAAACCCATGGCAGCTGCGATAAGGAGTTCAGCCTAAATACATGGGGCACACGGCATAACCACTAGGCTATCAGCACCTCGATTGTGCATTTCTACATCGTTATTTTAAGTGCCTGAAATCACTTCCACCGGGTGTGACACAGGTTGATTAACAGCACTCTGGAGAAACAGCCTTTTTACCATTTCCAATTGATTGAAAATGATTGATTGCCAAAATCAAGACAAACTTAAAGTGTCCCACAGCAGTTTTAAAATGAGATGATTATGGGCATCATCGAAAGCATGTTTTTGAATTCAATTTTAAAGAAGTGTAATGGACTTTTCCTATGCTGTGGAATAAGGTGTTGATGCTATTTAATGAAAATACAATACCCATTAAATCTAAAATAAAACATATATTGTGTTTGTGATGTGTGTACAGATTTGATGAGTAATGACTCAGAGGAGGGCAAATTTTGGTGCAAACTGCTAAACTAAGCACATGATCAAACTACTCCACAGCCATATGATGTCTAATCTCACTAAAACACGTTTCATTTTATTCCCTCCATCCATCCCTCCAGTCAAAATAGACAGAATTTCATTTAAGCATCAAATTTGGACCCCTCTCATGAAATGGCAGTAATGAAATGAGACTGACCCTGAACCTTAATCAGTTCTAGTTCAGGGAATCCCAATGGAGAGTCAGACGGCGCAAACCCACCTCCCCCCTCAGGGCTCCTCCAAAGCAGGCTGAGATGTCAAACCTGCAATCTTTAGGCTAGAATTTCATTTGAAGTGGCCCCTGTGTATAGTCTGCAGCCCCCATCTCCTCACTGATGTCTTCAAACAGCCTGTCACTCAAATGTATGCACAGTGTGAAGTGTTGGCAACACAGCTGAATGCGCTCATGTATACAAAATATATGCATTTTACATAATGGATGCATTTGTGTACTTCAAATCAGTCGTGTGTTTTTTTTTTCAACCTGGTACAGACAAGCAGAGAGATATATAAAGAGAGAAATGAAGAGGTGAGATGTTGGTGATGGAGGGGGGGAGATGGAGAGATGGAGGATGAAAGAAGAAAGGCAAGAGTTGAAGAAACATGTTTTTCAGGTTGATTTGATGGGATAATATTTCATAAAGCATTTTCTTTTATTTCTAGCCTTCGTTTTTGGGTTTCATCAAAATCTACATTTTCCAGGGATTTGGCAGCGCACTCAGCAACCCAAGACAAAAACAGGAGTGCTCCGCCCTTTCTGTTCCCCTCATTTGTCGTGTCTTTTCTTCCTCTTTCTTTGTTTCTCCTCTCCTTTTAAAATATTCTCACATCAAAGACACAAGCTGTGCAGCTGAGCCACAGGCGTTTGGAGTAAATGCACAGAAAAGCTTCTACATTCAAACGTATGCTTGACGGTGTGGCTGACTTAATTTACGACTGGTAGTAACTCATGTGAAGCAGTGTTGTTCCGCTGTCTCTGTTTTAAAGGTGAGGGAGAAGTTGATGGCCTGTTTTTGACTGTTTGACCCCTTTTTGTGGGTTTTCAACTAAGCTAGTAACATGGCTATATGTGCAGCGAAGGTTGTGTGAATGTTATTCCTTCAGGATGTCTCTGGACCTTCTAGTTAATATAAAACAGCCCACAGAGAACCAAATGTATGATTTTTCTATTATAAAAATGGGTGTAAATTAAAGTTTATTGCACCCATCAGTGAACACTATATTTGGGAGATAGGAGAAGATGCAAAAGAAAAACATTTAAAAACATTACCCAAATCGTTAAGTACCGGGTTTTCAATAGAAATAGAAGCAACAGGGGACACATTGAAGATGTTAGCACGTTGTGGTAGTGCTTCTCTTGCATGAAAGTTTAAAGAACAATTTTGCCACAACCTTTTAAGGCCAAATATGCAACATTCTGAATACTAACATATCAAAAATCTTATATTCCCTTTGTCAATATTTTGTGGAGTAATGACTTCCTAAAAAATGTGTAATGTCAAAGTCCCTCTTGGTTTGTTGTTCTGAGCTCTGTGTTCACACAGAAGGGACGACTCTTTGTTCACTTTGTTTATGTCATCCAGAGGTTCAGACAAGTTTCATACATGTGTGTGTGTGTGTGTGTGTGTGTGTGTGTGTGTGTGTGAACTCCTTCTTTCTCTAACCATGAGCCCTGCTACCACAAGGGGGGAAGAGATGTGTCCATGAGGGGACGGGGTTGTTTCTCTTCCCCCTCAGGGAAGAAAAAGTAAAAACACTAATTGACAAGTGATTCTATTAAAAAAGGACCTGTAATGAATTCCCCATCTCAATCTCGCATGGAAAGAAAAGGGAAAACAGTAAAGAGAGTCTGCAGATTAGTTAGAAATAGATTAGAGAAGTCATGATGAGAAGCCAGTAGGCTAGAACAACCCTAGCATTAGCCAGCATTACATTAGCTAGCCTGCTACTGTTTACAGATATAAGCTAACCTGCAGTTTTTTTCTGTAGAATAAGGAACCTGTGTTAACCTTGTCTGGGAGGATTTTCATTCTTCGCCGTGATTGCGTTTACTCTCTGGAAAGCATTACAACAGCATGTTTTAGTCAGTCTTCATCTTGTTTACGTCTGTTCCATGTGAGGGGCTAACTCTGATGCACACCATCATTGTAAATCCTTTTCCCATCCGTAATAATGCATGTTTGTGTTATTATGCCTCCATATATAAGGATCTTTACACAACACAAACACAAACAGTGGAAAACAACACACTGACAACTGAGGCGAGCATTAAGGAGTAAAAAGCAGAGAAACTCAGCTCGACGTGAACGAGGTCGCTGCCCCGCCTTGCGCCAGTGTTCCAGACTTTTATCTCCCGCATTCATCCTGACTTCTTTCAGACATTTTACTATGGGTCTGGAAGAGAAAACATCTGCATAGTCTGAAGGATATCCGGGTTTACACATGCAACCTACCAGGGAACGTGGGGAAATGTTCAGGAGTGCAATGCTTCCGTGAAAGGGGCTTTCCTAATATCCTGTAGTGAGTGATACACCTTTATTTTTAATATCTTGTATCGTGTGCATGTTGAAGATTAGAGAGAACAATATCTGTGAAGTTACAGCGTTTGTGTATGATGCAAACAGATTTTTTATTAAAATGTTAATACTCCTGTAGTCTGAGCCCAGCCTTATTCAGTTATTTAAATGTGTGGGCTCATATCTTTATACTGCATGACCCCTTTGTGGCCCATTCCCTATTGAAGAGACAGATTTGCTCCTTTTTCCTTTTTAATGATTTAGAGCATTCATGACCTTTGACTTTAGTCCAGCTTTTCCAAGTCAGTCACCCTCATCCCTCCTCTTTTTTATTCTCACTCTCTGATCTATAATAATGAGCTCTCCACTGTTTGTCTCTAATTAGCAGCAATATAACCTCCATATGTCCACAAAGACTGACAAAGAAACATTTACATCCCAAAGTGGCTTTGTAATCCTGGGAATGTTTTGTGTCTCGGTGTGTGTTATGTCTGTGAGCGTCTCCTTCAATTCACACTGCTTGACAATGGAGTGACATTTGTGACAATAGAGCCCCATTACATCACGAAGCAGACAAAAGACGCACATTAGCTCGCTGCTGGAGTCAGGTTGGTGGCAGCAGTCACCCTGCTGCACTTCTGACCCTTTGCTATCAGACACACACACCCACACACACACACACACACACACACACACACCCACACACACACACCCACCCACACACACACACACACACACACACAGACACCTACACACATACCTGTTGAAAAAGTCGATCAAAATGTCAAAACATGCACACTCACACACTCGGAAAATATTGAGTTCACATCAATAACATTTTTACCTTGCTCTCCTTTCTCTCCCTCTGTTAACAGTACATCAGTGTTGCTGCCATGGCGACCCTGGCTCCTCCCCTCACATTTCTTCTCCTGCTGCTTCAACTGGCTGATGGCTCTTTCCCAGAGGAACCTAGTCCTCTTAGCTACGTCCCCGTAGAGGGTATGTTTCTCCCTGCCGCTGTGTGTGTGTGTGTGTGTGTGTGTGTCTTTGTTCGTGTGACTATAGACTGTACCATACGAAGAATTGATGAATGGCTCCAAGGTGGATGTGGAAATCAGTGGTCAAGGGTCAGAGCCTTGGTGTGGAGTTGCTTTGAAGCCACCCAGGCATGCAGGAAAAAAAAGAGACTTCACTCAGTCTCTCAGTGGCAGAATTCATAAATAAGAAAGATACACAGGGAGAAAGAGATGATTTTTATGGGTGTTGAGAGGCTGGGGAAGATGAAAAAGAGGGAGACCATTGGATCGGAAGGGTTGATCCAGATGACGAGAAAGAAGGCTGAGGGGTGGAGGATAGAAGGGGAGGAGACAGGTGGAGATGGATCGCTACGTCCTCTCTCTCCCTCCCCTGCAGTCAAGGACAATGAGACGTTTTCCCAATCTGTCTCCTGATGCTGAGGGCTCCCTGTGGAGGCTGATGTCTACCGTCTTTAAAACTTTCTCAGAGTCTGATGCTGCCACTTCCTCTCTCCACCTCTCTCCTCCATCTGTACTCTCTCATTTAGCTGGAATGTTAAATGTAGGAACGAGAAGGAGTGAAATAATAGTAATGACTGCACACAGGTTTTCTCATTATGAAGCTGCATGCATCAAAAAGTTCTTCTGTGGGCTGTAACTGTACTGGTGTTCATCTTTGTCCTTGTTTTTCAAAACAAAAACATCAATATTAAGAGAAGAAACTATTAGAGGGAAGGTAAAATACGCAGTTTTATATCCTGCTTAATATCTATGGGTAAATATATGTGCAAAACAAATGTATGTTTCTGATTTGTGTTAGTTGTGCGGAGGTATCCAGTGTTCCTGGGCAGAGCTCATCGTTCAGCTCAGAGACAAGAGCTGCACATACAGACGGTCCTCCAAGTCAACCGCACGCTCTACATAGGAGCCAGGTAACCAACAGCAACCGCCTCCAACTGTGTCTTACTGACGCTTGTGCATTAATATCCTTTTGCTTTCATTTGATGCCACAGCTTCCATCTGCTGTCACTCTGCAGAGGACATTTACAGTTTGTTCCAGGGAGGAGGAATTCAATCTTGTTGTTAAATGTCAAGCTAAAGCTCTTTGTTCACATCACTCTTTACACATGAAATAAAAGATTATATTACACCTGTAAGCAGTGGTCCTCGTGCCAAATCTGGTACTCCCCCATAAATAGTCAGGTTCCTGATGAAAGCTGAGGTGCGGATTTAAAACATTAGCATCGAAGCTCTAACTCTTTTTAACAAGGACAATAAAAGGCTTATATAAATTCAAATAAATATGACCCAATAGCATCTAAAACTGCACCCACATGCAGAAAGAGGCAGGCTGTGCTTCGTGATGAAAAGGTTTATAATGTATCAAATCAATAAAACAAATTAATAATATAATCCACAAAACATCCCACGTTTAAAACACAGACTTTGATCCTAGCTTCAGCCTTTTTGACCACAACAGATTTCAGCCTCAAAAAATACAAACAGGTGGCCGTCATACACAAATGGTTTGTTGACAGCAATAACAAAACAACAGTTCTTGCATTTCATTTGCTTTCATAAATGAGGCAGAGAGCAGTTTTGTGCACCACAAATATATTTAATTCAGGTTTTTTTTGCCAAATGAGTATTAACATAAGCTGCTGTGACTCTGTAAGCCCTCATTTACTAAATTACATCTGATGTATGATAAATCCTAAAACAAGATTTTTTTATGAATCTGATTTATTCTGCGATATATTTACCCCACTTGTAATATATATGTCTTTAAATGTAAAAACCTGTAAAAAAAGAAAAATTCCGAATGCAAACCCTTCCTTATACATCGTTTATGTCATATTGGTTATGGATTGTTTCACATATCACATCATATAATATGTGTACTGATTTTAAGTACTAAAAAGAACTCAGATTTTAAAATAACAATGCCACTTTAAATATAAGGACTAAAAGACCACTGCCTTTGAACATGTGACTGCACTGATTTGTTGCCTCTTTTGTAGAGATGATTTGTACAGAGTGGAGCTGGATAACATGGCAGGTGAAGAAATGTTCTTCAGTAAGGTAACACTCATTCCCTTGTTCACACACAAAACCAAGCCTGCACTCATATCTGATAATGTCCACACACACACAGATAACAAGCTTTGGGACTTTGGTTCATTCTTTTTGCAGAAACGGACGTGGGAATCCAATAAGAATGATATTCGAGTGTGTCGGATGAAGGGCAAACATGAGGTACTGCGCTCGTACACAACATTCTGACTTTGAGATCCACTCTCTCATGCATCAACACAATCTACACTATCACACGCATGGACGGACACAACAGCTGTTACAGAAACCTTATTTCCTCGAGGTGCACCTGCATGCGGTATTTACACAAATTTGATCTTGTTGATACAGAATCAGCACATCACTTAATCACGCCAGAGCAGTGAAACGTTACCCAGCCCGAAAGATGCCTATGAAGCTTGAAAGCCATTTTTCTGCACACCTGCATCCTCCCTTTTTAAGTTCACTCATAGCATGCAGGGGAGACAAGAAAATAAGGAAATGTGTGCAAAAAAGGGCGTAGTTGCATGATGCACAGGGAATGTGATCTAATATACAAAAGAAAACGATTATGGGTAACTTGGTTGTCAGGGTGTTTCATTTAGATTAAATCTTTATTGTATAAAGATATTATTCATCTTTTTCAAGCAGTGGCCATTTTTCTCTGATGTCATGTTCACAGCTGTGCTCCATGTTATTAATAATATCCAGTAAAAGTTGGTAGTCTATAATATATTTATGATGTCACTACTTCCTGATTCATCAGCTGCTAAAAAAAACAGAAATCCCAAAGGAACATTTGGCTATATTTCAAGGGACAACAACATTATGTGAAAAGCGATTAACTACTGTAAGACAATAGCTAATGTTAGCATTTAACCAATTCAAAGCTAACATTAGCCTGTTTAATAGAAATACACACAGTGATAAAAACCCATTCCTGTCCAACAGTAGCTCAGCTAGAAATTAGATGAATGCTAATTAACTGCAAGCTTTTGTTATATAATTTAATTAATCCCGAGCTAAAATTTAAGGGACAACAGCAACATGGACATTCTACTTGGAAAAACCTCACGCCTCACACCTCTGCTACCTGGTATCACTCACCTAAGCCCACAAAATTATCCTCAAAACATGCAACCCAGCAAGCATTTATCTTTTGGTTGAAATTAGGTGGTAGACACTTAGACTTGTATCAACCTGTTTGAAATCCCGGCTAGTGCTCACTGAGAAGCCAACCGTTGTCACTTAAACGTTCTGTTCCACTCAGCTTGTTATGTCGGACTCAGAGGAGAGAAACACTGGCAGTCAATCAACAAACAGCCAAAAAAGTCAAAAAGAAGCAACTAGTGTGAGCGTGTGCCACAGCCCGTTGTCCTGTCTGCACTGCCCGAGGTGAGGAGAGAGAGAGAGAGCGAGAGAGGAGAGAGAGCTGCTGACACAAGTCACAGAAACTGGATGGCGTTTGTTTTAACAGTCACTGTGGTACTGTGAAAAAAAAGCTCAGAAGAAACACTTTAATATAATGTTGTTAGTGATATGCAATGATCAACATTTTTGTATTTTGACTAAAACACTTTGAAATGCTGTAGCTACTCAAGAGTGTTTGTGACTCAATTAGTGTGATTTTATGGTGATTTTTCAGATTTTATACTTTTATTTAACTTAGACCTAACCCTGCTTGTGATGCCAGAAGAAAAATGGCAGCAGTCTGAATTTGGTGAATTTTCACAGGCAAAATTGAAATCTGGATGGAGCTCATGGCAAAAGAAAAGAGGCGACAGGAAACATTACTGAGCAAACTTTGTAGAAAGAGTGACATAGCCTCAGGAAGGAAACAGCAATAAGAATCAGCTGAGAGTCACGCAGGTACAGTAGGTATAAGATGTGCGTGGGCAGAGGAAAACTGAAACACTTATAGGACAGGGGAGCCATCAAATAGAAAGAAAGGGCTGACAAAACAACTAAAGGAAAATATGCTTCCCTTTAATGAAGATAGGTGAGGGATTAAAACAAGTAAGAATTAAATAAAAGTAATTTAAGCTGTGATAAAAGAGCTCCAAAGGCAGGAGGAGACAGGATGACTTGAGGTGGAGGGATGGGGGGGGGGGGTCATGAGAGGAGAAAGAGGAACAGAAGAAGAAAAGTGACAGTAGGTGGAAAATATTAGCAAAAGTATCACCCGATCATTTACATTTGTAACAATTAAAGAATACACCTTGGAAGTCCCTCTTTGCTTGGTAACAGGCGTATTTTTTATAAGCTTTAGAGGTGCTGCTTTTGTGGCCTTCGCAATGTTCAAGGCTAGATGTTTCTCAAGTCTTCGCGGTGGCCTAAAATAACCGGATACTGGCTTTAACAACATATCAAAAGTACATTACTTAGATTGGATGTCCTCATATCTAACTCTAATTGAGAAAGCATGAGAGCTTACTTCTCAATGAATGCTATTCCTTTACTTTAATCTGTGCTTATCCTGCTATGACATGCGAGAAATGAAGGTACAAAAGGTTTACAAATTAGCTAGCTAGAGTAATATTATCACTCGACAAACGTTTAAAAAAAGTTATTAACTTTATGCATTTTGCACATAGTACGAATATGCACAATAATAATAACAATATAATGCAAAATTAATCAATTATCTAAATTGGAAATGAAATACCTCTACCAAAGATAAATCATATGGTTAGCTAGTTACACAAGCTAGCCGCTATCACAATGAGGAATGCCCTATTATAGGTTCATAAGTGCTGTAAAAAAAATGTTTTCCATCTTTGCAACTTTTTGTAATCAGACACAGTTTTTAAGTACAATTCCAAAGTAACTTGGGGGCTGACAAGTGTCATCATGTTTCAGGTGAAGTGGTAGGAAACAGCTTTAAATTATAACTCAACCAGCAGCCCCCAGTTTGAAGGCAGCTCAAAAGTCCCTGTCCTGTTGTTCCTCCAGATGAAGTGTGTTTGAGGATGTTATTTCCTCTAACAATTGTTACAAGCTGCATTTCTCATACCACACACAGGGAGTCTTCTCGCTCTGACTCGTAGTATTCAGCTTTGCTTTGCTTCATAACTGTCTCTTTCAAGTTGTCCTGTACTGTGTGATTTCCCCTCCACTTAAATCTTTTCCTTTTGTCTTTTTTTTTTTTTTTTTTTTACAACAGGGAGAGTGCCGTAATTTCATCAAGGTTCTTCTCAGCCAGCATGATGGCCTGTTTGTATGTGGAACAAACGCATTCAACCCACTGTGTGCCAACTACACTGTTAGTATCCATCTATCTGTCAGCCCGTCTTTCTCTGTGTAGCTGCCAGTTTGTTTGTCTTAATAATTGTTTCCTGTTGCAGAGAGACACCCTTGAATTGGTGGGAGAGCCTGTGAGTGGGATGGCCCGATGCCCATATGATCCACGACATGCCAACGTGGCTTTATTTGCAGGTAGCACCATGTGTTTGTGCTCTCAAAATGAAGAGTTCACTGTATCTAGCAGACATCAGACTCAGTTTTCAGCTCTAGACATTGAAGCGTCTGTGCCCTTGTGTTTACGTTTGCAAATGATTTATAGTCAGACCTCTCGACGCATTGCTTGTTTGGTTTTAATCTTCCTGACCTTGTGCTATTCCCCATCTGTATCTTCCCCTTCCTCTTAATCTCCTCCTTTCCTCTCACTGCGCTTCTCTCAGATGGAAGTCTCTTTACGGGTACTGTGACAGACTTCCTGGCCATCGATGCTGTGATCTATCGCAGCCTTGGCGACAGCCCCGCCCTCCGCACGGTCAAACACGACTCCAAGTGGTTCAGAGGTACTTTTCAGTTTCAAAACGATGCATAAATGAACCTCAAGAGCCGGACAACTTAATGACTTTTTGTACGTTCTTTTGGGCTTATTTGTGAATAATAAGACTGCGGAGGCTAAAAAATATTAATAAGCTACATTAAGGGAAGCTGAACGTGAGGAGATCTATATTTAATAGATTGAAGTGGAGCATGTTCACACAGAGTGATGTATTGAGGTTAGTCAGACTCTGCAGTTTCCAATTCAAAAGATGAGTCAGTTTACAGAAAGAGAGAAATAAACAAGCAGACTGAGGTCAAATCTCTCGATGAAAAACATTTAAAACATGTGTATCCTCTTGTCTATGATTATAAATTAAACAAGACATCAATATTTAATGAGCAATGTTGGTGGACAGCATTGTGATTGTACAGCCCCTTGTCAGAAAGTTTGGAAGTTTTCGTTTTGCTTCAGGCGCTGCGACATTATTGTTCATTAAGTGTGATTGTGTGTTACTAACAGTGTCTTCTCTCATTTGACTTGTTTTCAGAGCCGTACTTTGTGAGCTCCATGGAGTGGGGGCCTCATATTTATTTCTTCTTCAGAGAGATGGCCATGGAGTTTCATCATCTAGAGAAGGTTCTCTCAAACACGACCTGTTTTCTTTTCAAAGATTTATTTTGAGATTTGTGTGCCTTTATTGTTAGAGATAGACAGTGGATAAGTTGGAAATTAGGAGAGAGAGAGAGAGTGGTATTACATGCGGGAAAGGAGCCACAGGCTGGATTCGAACCTGGGCCGCCCGCTTGGAAGACTATAGCCTCCATACATGGGGCGTTCACAATAACCACTGCGCCACCAGCGCCCCAACGACCTGTTTTCTAATTTATTTTAATTAGCAGGATGTTAATTTTTATGCAATTCAGATTTATTGAGCATAAAGCATATTTTTTGTGAATTTTAAAGCAGAAAAAGGAATATGCACAATTTAAATCTCAGAATGCTCATTTTACAAAACGATTTACCGTAAACAGTTGAACAAAAACTTGAGTGGTCGAAGCTAGATAGTGGTATTGAATCATATTAAAAATTGAACTAAACGTATTGTTCTGTCAACTTAACTTTAACAATACAAGATAATCATTTGGATACGTTAGAACATTACAATGAATAAATGATTCTTTTCTCTTTTTGTTCTACTTTAACCCCTCCATTTGACTTGACGTTGCTTGTTTTACTCCAGGTGATGGTTTCCCGTGTGGCTCGTGTGTGTAAGGCAGACCTTGGTGGCTCTCAGCGCGTCCTGGAGAAACAGTGGACTACATTCCTGAAGGCGCGGCTCAACTGCTCTGTCCCCGGAGATTCACACTTTTACTTCAACCTCTTACACGCCACCAGCGGGATCATTCACATGCAAGGACGAGACGTCATACTTGGTCTCTTCTCGACGCCACCAAACAGGTACTGAGTGGCACAAAAAAGAAAAAAGAAAACGAAAAGCACAAATCATTTTTTTCTTATAAATGCTGTGTTGTTCTTCATCTTTGGCAGCATCCCTGGCTCTGCAGTGTGTGTGTTTGACATGCAGCAGCTCGCTCATGTGTTTGAGGGCAGGTTTAAAGAGCAGAAATCCCCTGAGTCTATTTGGACTCCTGTGCCGGACGAAGCAGTGCCTAAACCCAGGTATTGTTATTATAAAGTGATGTAAGCAGAACTTGTGCAGAATACTGCAGCGCTGCTGTCCTGAGCGTCTTCCTCACATATAGTCTACTTTCTCCTCTTGCTGTAAGCTCCATTTCAGTCACATTGCAACTTCACAACCACTCAGCAAATATTCTAAAACAACTTCCAGCAGCTTCTTTCGCTCTCTCTCTCTTTTCTCTTTGTATTTATTATCCTCGTTCTTGTTTTTATCTTCCCATCTCCATCTGCAGACCAGGAGGATGTGCAGTGCAGGGGTCCAGATTTAGCTCCTCTAATGCGCTGCCAGACGAGGTGCTGAACTTTGTGAAGACCCATCCGCTAATGGATGATACCGTTCCACTGCTGGGGCACAGACCCTGGGTGGTCAAGACTATGGGACGGTACACATATGGACTCAATTGTTTTTTATAGCACCCATGCAGAACATTTTATGGCATGAATTTGGGAAGCTTAGATCTTAACATATGAATCATAGCCTGTAGGTAAAAAAAAGGAGAAAGGCTTATATTTAATGTACATATCTGTCTCTAGGTACCAGCTGACAACCATGGTGGTGGACACAGAAGCTGGTCCACATAAGAACCGTACAGTTTTGTTCTTGGGCTCCACCAGAGGAACCATCCTCAAGTTTCTGATGATTGTCAGTGGAGATTCAGTCTCCCACAGCAGCGTGTTTCTGGAGGAGGTGGAAGGATTCAACCCAGAGAAGTGAGTAGGAGTTGAGCCACATTTGTGCTTGATCTCCAATAAATTATCCATCTCAGCATGTTGCTGCAGGTAGATCAGGACTCACGCTATCGACCTCCTTTTAAGAACTGAGTAGCTGTGAGTTTTGAAAATGAAATTACCTCAGCTCTACTTTGAGTGTGATTTTTTAGGGCATTTTATCGTAAAAGACTAATCTGGTTTAAAGTTCTTGCTTCTAATTGTAGGTATATTCACATTTATTTTATTTTTACAGTTCACAAAAAAAATGACAAAAAATTCAGAAAATATGATTTTCATAAGTCAAATGAGATTTTTCTTACTCTTTGTTCCATCTGAACATAAACTTGTATATATGCATAAAAAATGATAGAGTATTCAGTATCACTGCTTAAAAAATGCTCAATTGCTTCATTGATTGACCATCTAAAAGTTTCAGTGACTTAGCAATGACAATAAGAATCTTGTTGGTTGTTTAATCGATCATAAAGTCAAGCATTGTTTTGTAGCACAAGAAACCTTTGCAACTTAGATTATATACTTTCAGACCTTGAGCATTAAAACAGGTAGAAGTAAAGTAAAGATTTTGTCTCCGGCCCTGGTGCCAGCTAGCACAAAAGAGTTCATTTTTTCAAACCAAACAGCTGTGGTTTATGTTCCTGTGCAGGTCTTAATAAAATTGATGTTGTGACCATTTGTATCAGGGTTAGAGCACAGGGTCTGTCTGTCTTCAAACACCAACAGATGAGACCTTTGAACCCGTCTCAGATTGATTTAAAGCCAAACAGGGTGCACTGACCACCTCCTTGCCCTCTGCCTCCTGTCTACACATGTGCGTGTCTCTGTGTTTGCAGGTGTGGTGAGGACTCTCCTCAGGCCCGTCAGCTCTTGTCTCTGTCGTTGGACCGGACCAGCCACACTCTGCTACTGGCCTTCCCCTCCTGTCTGGTGCGAGTGCCCACGTCTCGCTGCCACCTGCACTCACGCTGCATGAAGTAAGAAACAAACTGTGACCTGTTTTTGTCTTAGAGAGAGTTTTTCTTTTCTTTACCTCGATGTTTCTTTGGCTGATAATTAGGTCAGTTAGAATGTAGAAGTGGCTATTAGCCAAGGCACTGCACACTGGCCAACTTTGGTTTTCTTCTTGTGCTCTCATTCCAGAGTTGTGCATAATGTTAATTATGGTAGCATTTGTTTCCTTTGTATATATAATTTAGCTTGACACTACACAGTCTTGATCTTGCAACAAAGAATACATGATTTATTATGAATACTAACAAGGAGTTAAGTACTGCACGTATGGGAAAGATGTGTGAATGATGTCAACCTGAATCCCACAGCAGGCATAAATCACATGGAGATACAAGAAGCTGAGAACAGAAGCCACTACTTACAGTGCGTGTGACTGCTGTGTGTAAATATGTATTACATTTAAATAACATCACAAATAAATCTCATACCTTCATTGGAACGTACAACAGCAGTGCCCAGGTTTGGCGTGACACATTTCCCTAAGTCTCCGAGGGAGCATTTTACATTTTGTGAGTTTTCTTTAAATGTTCCTTGTGTGTCCCTTCTCTGTATCTGTGTGTGTGTGTGTGTGTGTGTGTGTGTGTGTGTGTGCAGGAGTTGTCTAGCCTCCAGGGACCCGTACTGTGGTTGGACCAGAGGTAGCACCTGCTCCTTCCTGAGACCAGGCACACGGTGAGGACAATGTACACTAATGAACACACACACCAACCTTCCTTATAATAGTATCATACCTCTGCAGACTTGCTGTCTGCAAACCCTGCATTCGTTTCTGTGTGCTGAGGGAGTTCTTTTTAACTGTAGTTAAAACAATCCTTTGTGTTGTATTTGGACCAGTCTGGCCACTGCAATAATGTTGAGTATGCATTTGAGAATAAATGCTTAAAAATGATGAAAGGGGGGTGTAGTTTAAGTTGTTCCAAATATGTAGATTAATTCCCCTCCATTAAAGGGTGACCTTGGAATTTTTGGTCTCAATGCCCACTATAGAGTTCTTTTGTATCATAACTTCAGATGTAAAAAAAAAAAAACAAAGAAGAGAAACAGAAATGCAGGGCACAGCTGGTTGACTGTTGTTGTTCAGAAATTCAAAGCAAAGAAATGAAATACAGTAGATAAGATAATGATCATAAATAACTTAACACGCTCATACTGGTTTATATTCTGTTGTTACTTAAAAGGCCATTATTATTTTAACAAACTCAGCAAGATTGGCTAAGTGGTTAAAATCTCTTAAGTATTAAATATTCATTCCTTGACTATGTGAAGTACACTGGATCCATTGCTTCATCTATTAAACTGTTTATTTAGTGCAATCTAAAAGCTTTCTCTTTTTTGTCTTTTTAATGGGTTTTAGGCTGATATAGTAACCTAATGCTTTTTTATCTTCCATCTGCACTTAAACAATTCATGTTTGTCTTGTTGAGAATCTGATGATGCAAAAAAAAGTTCATCTTCTCTTTCCTTTTTCCATATTTATTGCAGTTAGGGAGTTTAAATGAATCTGTAAAATAATTGTACTGTTTTTCAAATAAACGAAGAAGATTCAAATGTAAGCATTACTTTTAAAAGTTTAATATTTTCTATTGTTTGTGTATTCAACATTACATTTGATTTATATTGTTAAAAATTATTCTTTAAGCCAATTAACATGTGTGGCTGTATAGTATTCCCTGTTTTGGGGTATATAATACAAACCTTAATCATTGAATCGTAATAAGAAGCATTGTCCTTCATTCATTAATATTCCAGTAAATATTATGGAGCAATAGTGTCAGTTATGTATGTTAATGAGGGTCAGTCACTGTACCTGGGATTTCAATCCATTCTTCATGCTCCCATCACCACCTGTCGACTGACCCTGACCTGCGACCTCTTTGTCATGTGTCAAAAAAAAGGGAAAATCAATAATGGGATCAATAGTGTATCCTATTACAATGAAATTACATATCAATAAATGTCATATATAACTGAGTGATTTCTATCAACAAATGTCTCCTTTTATGTACTGTTTACTTAGTTTGTAATGAAAAGCCAATGTTTTATTTTCACTCAGGTTTAATGTTAGACTGTCAACATATAGGAGAGGGACTTTCTAAAGTGAATGAAGAACACATAATGAAATGTTCCCTGCTGTGTGGTGTCTCTATATGAAGAGAAATTAATGACCTGTGATCTGATCTGTGTGACTGCAGGCTGCCTTTTCAACAAGATGTGGAATATGGAAACACCTCCTCCCATCTAGGAGACTGTGATGGTAGGTTGCAGTACTATGTCATGGACGCTTCAGTCTGAGGGTGGTGTACTGAGAGCAGGCTCCCCCTTGTGGCTGAATCCTTCATTACACTGTCTACTTGTCACTGAACATTATGTTCTGGAAAAAAAACCAGAGAGAGAATATTGATGACTTTTTTTCAACCATTTAAGCCCATTTTAATTATCCAAGTAGTAATGAGATTTCCTTCCCCACAGCTCAGCAGGATCCTTCCAAACTTATTCTAGCATCTGAGTTTGTTGAGTGTATTGGTCTCTGTTGAATCAGGTGGGAGTGGATTCTGGTTTCAGCTTTACTTTCCACAGGTCAGACGTGCTCCCAGTGTGAGACAGTTTAATTAGAGAGGATGTGAGATGTAGACTATACAGCTATACCGCACAATGGGAAATGATATATCCTCCTGGTTACAAGACTTTGTTCTCTATAGGATGAATCCACATCTGAGAGTAGGATGACCAAGGGTAGCCGGCGAGCAAGCTTGAAATAGCATAAAATACTGATGTCACTTTATTTCCGAGGGGCTCAGATGTCGCTGCAGTATCACCAGAGGGAAGGCTCTTTGAATCTTGTTCTGGATTTTTCAAAGTCAGCAAAATCTAAAAAAGACATTTCCATTCCGGCTGACTCTTTCTGAACAGTTTTAGGTCACAAAGTCATCCAAAATATTTCTTCTGAGATCATTTCTTTTTAACTGATACACAGGCGTCTAGTTTTGCACCAACTCTCAAAAAACTGATAGCAGTAGAAGTCAGCGCTGCCAGACTGCAGACCTGACAGACTCAGAGCGTTGAAAAGCGCAGCACAGCCTGAGCCAGGGGCCGGCGTTTGCTGCTGTGTCTGCAGATGGGATAGATTAGAACTGGGTGGAAACACTGAGGTAATGGTATGTGCTGAGAGGAGAGACTCTCCTATGAGGCTGCAGGACGGAAAGTGTGGGGAGAAAAAGAGAGACAGCTGCTGTGGTCTGAGCTGTGCTGATGACAACTGCAGAGCTCTCTGAACCTGGATCCTTTGGAGCCTCAAGGCCAGACTGGAGAGGAGCTGAACACAATGATCACCAATTATGAGTGTTATTCTAGTTATTGATTAATCATAAAACATTAAGAGCTAAGCAGAAGGAGCACTATATGTAATAACAATGATCATCATTTTGGAGTGCACCCTGTGGACATACATTTAAAGAGGCGGTCCATTGTGCTGTTCTTTTAAATGTCATCTTCATAATTGTGTCTTTTAATCTTCAGGAATCCTGCAGCAGAGTTTGCTGATAGAACCAGAGAGCTTGGTCTCCCTCAACCTGCTTGTGGCCTCTGCAGTCTCAGCGTTCACCATCGGGGCGGCGCTCTCTGGCCTCGCCGTCTGCTGGATCATGGCCCACAAACCAAGCAACCGCCGCCATGGCAACAGCTCCCAGTCTGCCATCCAGCGACGTGAAAGAGGCCTTCTGAGTAGTGGCGGCGGGATGGGAGGCTCTGTGCTTAGTGTGACAAGGCAGGGAGGTGGGGAGCGTCCCTGCACCCAGGGTGGGGAAACCCTGTTTGTCATGCCCAATGGGTGGGTGAAGTCTGGGGAGCTGGACCCGGGTTTCCTGCCGACCCCCGAGCACACGCCCCAGCAGAAACGCAGAGGCCTACGCCTGTCCGACTCCAACTCAGGAGGTTGGGACACCAGCCAGACATACCTGGGGGGAGGGTCTGTGGGTCTGGGTTCCCCCTGTCGTATCCCCCCCTCAGTCTATCTGACTACCAGACTCTTCCAGCAAGGGGGAGGAGGGAGACACGGCGGCGAGGGACGAGGGAATGACACACCACGCCAGCACTACGTCTGCCTGAGCAAGCAGGAAAAAGGAGGGAGGGGAACGCCCAAAGCCCCTCTCAGGAAGTCTGCAGGGGAGTATGTGTACCCCATGACCCCTCAGGACTCACCCGAGCGACGGAGGGTGGTATCAGCACCAAGCGCCCCCATGGAGTATGGCGAGCCGCTACCTTTGCGCTGGCCGGCTCCTGAAGGATACATCCTGAGCAGCCACGGTATGGTCCCCGTTTCTATGCCTCCACCCTCCATGCCCCCTCCAAGCGGCCAGGTCTACATGTCCCAGCAGCACACCCCTGGGCTAAGCCGAGCTCTGCTGAGGGGGGCTTTGGAGCGAGGGGAGCTTGGGGAGCTGATGGATCTTAGCCAGCTGTTGAGCAAGAAGAACTGCAATGACAGGACTCAGACTGGCCAGTGACTATTGAGGAAATGAATAAAATGTCCAGAACTCTGTTTTTGTTTACATAGATCTCTCTTTTCGTCCTTATTCTGTCCATCCTCCACGCCCCCTCCCTCTTTCCTTCTCTTTTCCTGACATCTTTATTTGTCATTCAGCCTGCTCTCCTCTGTCAGTACCCCCCCCCCCCGCGCGCACGCCTTTTTTTGCCACCCTTGATGAGTCTCTCTTTATGACTGGCTGCTTGGTCTGCCACTCATATCCTGACTCAAGCTAATTGGTTGGGTGGACTGAGGTTGTTGCTGTGTCTGCATTGCAGAATTACCTCTCTCTCTCTCCTGCCTGAGAGAGGATGAGGAGAAAAGAAAGAAAGAACAAAAGATCTAAAAAAAAGAAAAGAAAAGGGGGACAGCAGAGCAGGGGTTGCTCAGAGGATGTGGAAGGTGAAAAAGACGGACATAGCACTTAAAGCTGGCTTCGTGCAGATTATCTGTGGATGAAGGAGTGGGATACTGTCTCCCTCTTTGATCACATTAACAAGACCGCCACCCATCTGTTTTACTCTATATTACCTGTTGGTCTGGTTGCCAACAAGGTTCTTTCAATGAAATTATAAAATCCTAACATTGTGAAAGTACCTGAAGCTGGAGATGACTCATCAGCCCAATAAACCGACTGTAAAAACAACTTTGATGGATGACAGGAAAACACAAAATCCCTCTCTCTTTATCTTTTTCCATCTCTTCCTCTTTGAGACACACACAGCAGATGCTAATGTGTTTTTGTACAGGTGACAGAGTATTTAGTATTCTGTGTACACCAGAAGCGGGACGTGTGTGTGTGCTAAAATGCCTCTAACCTTGTCTCATAGGGATATGGGACCATAACTCACGTCTTTCTGGAGCAGAGTGCAGGACTGAAATGTCAGCACTATTTCTGCCAACCGCATGCTCTCTGTTCGTTTGCCTTCTTACACGCCATGTATTTTTTAATGACCAATAATTCCAAGTGGACGTCTGGGGAGATTGCACCAGAAAACTGAGCCTACTACAAAATAAGAGCATGACTGAAAGAAAGGAAAAAGGGAGAGAGGGAGGTGTTTTGGGAAAGTATGCAGACTGCAATATATAAACCCTGTCCTTTCACTGTCACCTGAGGGTTTTTTCGCAAGTACACACACACATCCATTAGTGCTCCATTATAGGACACAGTCTGGTTTTATTGGGCAAAATTTCCCCTGAAGCCCACAGTGGGTCAAGGTCCTATAGATGTGATACAGAACAAAGTGACAGTTACAGTGGTGATGACTAAAACCCCGGGCTTAACTCAGAGCCAACAGGGGTAATGGAAATGTTCCCAGCAGGCAAATGGGACCATATATTTAGCCCTTCAAAGTGTCATGGCACTGGACACGTATAGATCAACACAACATGGTATGAGTGTGAAAGAGATCAAGGTCATAAAAGACAGACAAGATAAAGAAAGCAAGTATGAGACGCTGAAATGAGGTGCACTACAACGTGTTAGAATTTGATATATTCAAACTGATTTTCACTTACTGTGCCAGTCCCAAGTTGACAAATGAATGAAGTTAGTGCTGACTTTGCAGCAATATATGGTTGATTTGTACATAGTGACCTTTCATTTAGATGAAATTATAATGTTAGAGTAACTCCAAAAGTGACACCAGGGGCTGGCTTGCAAAAAAGACATAACACGTATCATGCCAGTATTACTTGAAATGAATGAAAATCTGTTTTCATATAGGCTAAGTTTCATATTAGACGGCTCTGATATTCAAATTGGCAAAACACTTGTATATAAACAGAGCCCTCGTTTTTTTTACATCTGAGTGCCAAAAGCAGGTTATGAATGATCAACTGATGCCTGATTACTGAAGCAAAAACACAAAGAGAAACTTGTTAATAAGTGCCATGAGGATTGTTTTCGTCCGCAGAGTTGGAGATCTGTTTATTGCAGTATATTTGTTGTGTTTGCCTTTTTAAACATACCCGCTGAATGTATTTTTTTATTTTATTTTAATGTGAGTGTGTGTGTGAGGTTGAAATCATTTGTCCATCTCTATCTGCTGAATGTTTTCAACAGTGTTTGAAAGGTCCTTGTAAGAGCTACTCTGACACTTCACGATGCCACGCGTGTATACTGTAAATAATGTTAAGACGGAAAACCTTGTCATCCCCTTTATGATTATACTGAAGTATTTTCACTGATGCCATGACATAAAGAGTGTTAATTCCAGGACAGCTGATACATTAATAAGTAGTTCAAAAGCAAAACTTCAAATGAACAGAAACGCTCAGAGGGAGCATTGTGTGTCTCATTTGGTGTCCTGATTCTTGACTTTTCTTGACAATTTGTAAAAAGAAAAATGTATTAGAAAGAAATCAATCCTTAATTATCGTGATATCAAAGAGTTGTTTTTGTTGATTTTTGAATCCCCAAAAAGAAGTCAAGCATTTACTCTTTGTTGGTTCTTTTATTTCGGGTTTTGCTTTTGGTCATTTTGTCATGAACAGTCTTGGTTTCAAACTGTCACTTTGGGTTCTGGGAGATTGTATTGAGCATTTTCTCAACTTTCTCATATTTCTAGACTCAACGATTAGTAATTAAATTGTAAAATATAGACAGCAAATGAATCTATTACAGGAATAATTGTTTGTCGCAGTTCTATTCTGTTGTTAAGTGATCGTCTGTCTGACATTACAAACTAACTGCCATACTGAAAGACCTTGAAAACACTCGTCAGCATCCTGGGAGAATGAATGTACTCGTTTTTTCTTTTTGTCGTCATTTTTCTGTGCAGTAATAAGGAAAAGCACAAAAACTTGATTTCTCTTCTTTGCATTTTGAAAGGGGAATGTTTTTCTGTATCATTTGTGAATAGTGTAAATAACCATGCTGAAGGTAGTGTATAAGTTTGGTTGTCTGGGAGAGTCTTCTGAGACAGGACTGTCTGAAGTATGATTTTTTTTTTCTCTTGGTGATGATGCTGTGAATAAGATGTATGTACAGTATTACGTGATTTGGGGCTGACTGCTGGGTTCAGCTGTTTCCCTGTTATTAGAGTAGAGTCGCAGGCGGAACTGAGCCTTCTCATTTGACTGATGCCTGCCGAGTTTTTGCAGTTGCTAAGATACTGCTGTTATAATAACCATCAATCTTTTGAGTACTGCTATTAAACGGCATTATATAACTGACTCCTAATGTTGTCGCATTTGCCTCTGAATGCACTCATTGAAATAATGCACATCATTATATGCCTGTGCACACATTCACACAAATACACACATTAACACTTCCATTGCCCAACGAATAATGTGTATATCATTACTGCAGTTTATTTTCTGTAAATGAGACACACTTGTCATCTTTACGGTACTTTAAAACTTCACAAAAGCAAGCTCCAGAGCAGTGAGCAGAGGAGGTGGAAAATCTATGAAGCATTGACATTCCTGTCCACTAGATGGCGCTGGACACTGGCCTTCATTCAGCATGGCTGTGAGAGAGTTGAAAGCCTCCCATGGGTGCCTGAAACTTGACTGGACACTACATGCTGTAGTTTCGATTAGAGGTCCTGGGCAGAGATTAGAACACCTCTTGATCTCTCTGCTTTGATACTATAAGGCTTTGAACGCGACTCATACAGCATACAGATATTTCTTACACAAGACACACGCACAACTAAAGCAACCTGATAACCTAAGCCAGATATAACTGATCAACTCTTTCATCAGCGTCTGTACATACTGACATAATTAGCAACACTGTGAATAGAATTACCTACAGCGTAGTAACAAATGAAAAATGCAGTTAACCTAATGGATGCAGATTGACATCAAATTACAAATATGAAACATTTGATGAGAATAAATCTCAAAAGTGGTTCAAAATAAAAGGTCAATAATATTCTTTGCAATCAGTCAGCTGGCTACTTGTTGTACACTGCCGATTAAAAGGAGTAATACACCATTTATATATTGTCCACCATGAAGTACAGGAACTCAAAAAATATAATGATTTTTTTTCAAAGGAGCAGAGGTAAAAGATACACTGTGCCTACAAATCTTATAATGCAACTTAATATCATCTTTCACTGAATCCTCCCTGTCTCCGTAATGCCCACTTTGTTTTTAACCCCCCTCCTCCAGTTTGTACAGCAGGTATGTGTTAATAAAAATGTAATCAAGGCTGTTTAAAAAAACGGTGGATTTAGTATTCAAAGTCAAGGCAATTCATAAATGCCTTTAATCTGCATTGTTCCCCCCTCATAGCTAGCTGAAGGTGATTACTGGTAGTGACACACTCCATTCTCACTCATTTAAATAACTCAGCAAACATTTCCAAAAAACAGGTGGTCTGGTGTGACTACCATAAGTTGTGAAACTTGTGGCTTCAAATGGCAGTGAGCAAAAGAATTGGAGACTTAAAATGGCTGTCAACTACTATCATTATTGTTTTTTACTGTAGATTTTAAAAGCCCAAAATGTAGCCTGAAAAAAATCATCATCATTTTTTTTTCTCTCCAGAGCCACATTATACTTTACACAGGTGTTTAACAGGCTCTTGATATTCATTAGTAGACATTGCATATGGTTATCTGAACGTGCTGTGTTAAGTCAAACTACCTCTTTAACAATTTCATTTATTTTACGTTGTCCAATGGACTGCATCTACTAGTCCTATTTAGGTTGTTTCCATCTGGTTCATTTGGAACCAGAAGTTACCATATTGGTTCAAGAGAGGGGGACATACGGCCTAAAACTCTATCCTTGTTAAGTTGTTGCTGTGGTACTGACTTGTAGCCTAATAATATATCAAATTAACATCATGAAGTATTAGAAAATACATGAAACTCAACTCAACTTTATTTATACAGCATTTTATATACAACACTGTTGAAGTGCTGCACAGGGCAGATAGAGAGGGAAAAAAACATTAGAAGGTAACAGAAAAAAGAAAATCAAAGACATAAAAAACAGCAATATTTTCTTTAGTTGCCTTGCTTGCACCCCAATGCAACAATATCAGTGACAGAACAACAACGACATTAAAAATGAAAGAAGAACAGGTTACAATGATGTAGACTGTAACACAAAGCTAACTGATATCTAAGCCCTGAGCTTGATGGGTCATTGAGAATGAAAAGCAACTGGGTAGAAGTATGTTTTAAGAGTCCTAAACATGTCAATAGTGTGTGAGAAACGGATGTTGGACCAGCAATAGAGAAGGACCTGCTATCCAACACCTTGTCCTGGATCTTGGCATGGACAAAGGCTTTGGTTAGACGATCTTATTTCTGTGACTGGCTGATATGGGGGCAGGCCATTTAATACCTTTTATACAATCATCAAAATTTGGAATTAAATTCTTTACTAAACGGGTAGCCAGCGTAAGGAGGCAATAATGGGAGCAATCTGATCTCTTCTTTTTGATACTGTTAAACTCTGGCTGTTGCATTTTGCATAAGACAAGACTGAGTGATACTAAAGATACTAAAATAAAGTGAATTACAGTAATTGATGCAAGTGGATAAACATGCATAACTTCCTTTAAGTCGGAATTACAGAAGATGGGTCTTAACTTAGAGATGGTTCAGAGATACATGACGCTTAATTTTACAACCTGATGTATTTATTTGTGAACTAACTTTTAGTGCTGCATCAAATATGACACCAAGATTTTTTTACCCAAGATTACAGAATGGGAAAATGGGCAGAGATGTTAAAAAATAAAAAAAATTATAAATAAAACTTTTTCAATAAAAAATAGTAGCTGATAGAATCAAAGCAGCAGTTTGTAGAAGCGATCCACTCAGACAAATGTAAAAATATACTTTGAGGTACAATGGTTTGTTCTGACTGCCAGTTTTTAGGCGGTATGCTAAAGTAGCTGACAACAAAGCTGACATGGATGGGTGTGTAGCAGACAATGAACACAATCATGTTTGCTGTTACCATGCTGATGGTGCTTTTCCTCTCCTCTGACTTTGTGTTTTGCTTTAACAGAATAAAGATGAGCCAACTGGAGCAGAAAACGATAATCAAGAGTGGAGCGAGGAAGCCTGCCAATACCAGCGTGACAACAAACTGTAGTTTAAGACGCTCATCTTTACATCGTTCATAACATCTCCAGAGTTTTTGGGGGTAGTTCTCCTCTATGAATATAATGCATATTGTCACCACAAACACCCAAATGGTCAAACATACAGCTAAAGCAGCCTCTTTCTTCCTCCTCCATGATCTCGCCTGCAGCGGGAACTGCACAGTCAGGTACCGATGGACACTGATGGCGGCCGAGGTGAAAATGCTGGCATACATGTTGATGAAATGTATGTTCACAAGAAAAGTACAAAAGAAGTTCGGGGGCAGGCAGAAGAAGGCATTATAGATCCTGAATGGAAGGAAGAGGATGAGGGCAGAATCAGCTGCAGCCAGGTTCAAGATGTAGATGTGGGTGTCTGTCCAGGAGGCTCGCTGGGCAAACAAGCCCCTAACAGCTGCAGCATTGACGAGGAAACCCAGAAGAAACAAAGGACAGTATGCCAGACCCTGAAGAATTTCCACTTTGCAGGTGTGGTTGGTGACATAGTTTCTGCAGGAAGCAGCCATGTTAAAATAAGAAAAGTATCTTAGTTTAGAAAAAGGACTTGATGAGGTTCAAAAAGACAGCTTTGCAAAAGAACCACACACAAAGATATTGCTAAACATTGTTCAATGCAGCTCGGAATATCTTTATTAAAGGATTAGTTTGAATTCTTTCAAGGTCTGTCTTAAAACAGAAACCTTTTTACTTGCTGAAATGTTTGCCCTCTTCAATTTAGCATGATAGTTCTGTAACATTGTTGATCTCACAACAGATACAAATTTTAAAAATGATATGTCCCTTATGTGAGATGAACATTACAAAAATCCGGATTAACTGTTTGGATCAACATTGCAGACTTTTTGAAGAGAACTCTTCTTTTGTGTTATTTTTCTGCAAGAGAAAATCTGGCGCCATTAGCTTGAGCTAAGAATGAAATTAGCAAAAAGGGAGAGTGTTGTCCTCTGACTTTTAGATTGGAGGTGATTCACTGCAGCAACCAATCGTTTTTGTTGAATATGAGCATTTAAGCAAATTTTAAGACAAGACTTAACCAAACGTGAACCTATCGTTTCACCTGATAAGATTTGATGATTCCTTTGAATTTCCTCTCTTACAGACTAGTCTTTAAACATCATATTTTACAACATGTGAAGCAAACATCTACATTTAAGCTCCTCAAGAGGGAGTATAAGGCTGCAGCCAGGAAACATCAGAAATACAATTTATAATGTTTTTTTGGTATAAAGTATTTAACTTTCAGTAACATACAGGTGATAACAGTTCAATCAGTGGATGACTGAAAAACATATTTTCTAAGTTATGCTGGTCAAATGAAGAAAATAAAAACAAACTTACCAATTTAAATGTTCTTTCTAACTTGATCTAACGGACCTGAAGGTATCAGTACAACTGTGTTTTTTAGATAGAGAACACCGTGTCCCCTCTTTTTGTACACGTGCAAGGCTCTGCAACTAAAAGTGAAACGTAGAAACCAGAAGAAGTAACAGAACCTGCTAACTAAACCATAGACCACACGGACAGTTTATCACGTAGCTTCAAGGGGAAATGCGTGTGTTCCTCTTTGATGAACTATTTGTGATTTAATGGTTAAAAAAAAAAACTTTCAAAAACTGTATTTGTGTATTGAGCTGAAAACTGTGGCCGGGCAGAACTGGGGGGTCGCAAAGAACTTAATCAAATATGAAATCCTTATAAACTGGTGATTCACTTTTTGTCAGTTTTATGGTAGTTTCAGTTTTGAATAAATAAATCAACCGCGTTAATGTTTTGAGCATCCAGTAACGACGCAGAAGAGGAAATAACAACATCCTCCACTGCAGTAGAGGTGAAAGTAAAAGGTCAAGAGCTGCACTGGCTATGACGACTGGAAAAGGAAATTGCTGAATAAATCTTGTCCGTAAGCAACAGGCACAACTTTGAGCACAACCTCTCCACTCTTCAACAGCTTGGTTGTAAAGAGAAATGGGTCAGTGTTTTGTTCTGTTGGCAGGCAAGAGAAAAGGACAAACTTCAGCAAAAAAAACCCAACATTTTTATATTTTGGGTGCTTTTGTTAGGAAAGAGTGTGTTCATGTGTTTATGGAGAGAATGT